AAAAAAAAAAAAAAAATGACGTGTGAAGATAACACTAAAGTATTTTTTGGTGAAAATAAGCTTTTTATAGCACAAGTAAGTCCCCCGTCTTCTTGTTGATATTGATATAAATAGAAAAATATTGAATAAGGTAAGGTTACTTATAAAATTTTAGGAAATGGAATCACATTTCACGGAAGGCCAAAACGGAAGTGAAACTATTATATATTGAATTTTGTTTAACATCACAGAAAAAATAACTATGGCGAAGATAATAAACGTGTAGCTTTATTTGAAGTGTAATATATTTGAAAATATATATTTCATTTAAAAGGTGTATATAATTTTAACAAAATTAAAACGGAAGAAAGGAATGTTCAGCACTTCTTCTATTGGTCAAGTTATATATCACTTTTTCAATAGTCAATCACATCACTTTTAACTAAAATCTTAAAGTAACTTTTTATAATTCAAAATTAATTTTTTTTTGTGCCGTCTACGATTTTCTGTATCGTTATTTTCAGAATCTACTAAAGTCTAGTCTGTATCTATCTATATTATATTAAAAGCACGAAGGCCTTAGCGAAATGTCGTTCGCCTTTTTTGTCCCTTAAAAATAGATTTTATATTAGACAAAATGATCATTTTAAGTTTTATCCCTAATATTTAGGAGTTTTAAATAAACTAAATTAATACATTAAATCTTTCTTTATTTGAAGTATATACACAAAGTCCTAATATTAAATATATCCTTCCTTACTTAATGATGTAACATAACAAAAAAAATAACAAAAAAGTAACGTTTGGAAAAGTTTAAGTAAAAAATGTTTAACACTTAAGACTCCTTTTAAACCACTAAGGACTTCTTTTAGGGTTAGGAGTATTTGGTCTTCGTTAAAAAAATATAACGATTAATTTTAGCAACACAACTAACTCAAAAGTAGAAAACTAATATTGCAAAGAATGTAATCTCAACTGTTCGAGGTACCTATCAATCGTGCAGATTTGTTTTTCAATAATTAAAAAGACTATTGTTTCAATCATCTTATCCATGAAATAATATGAATAGATAAAGATGAGAATGAAGATAGACAAAAAAACTTAGAGCAAACAGAGTTACAAATGGATACTCCACAAAAAAAAGGTAAACGAAAAAAAATAACCACTAAATTACAAATAAACACTAAAGTTTTCCCCCAGAAAATCTCTTAAAGTTTTAAAGGCTATATATTTTTGCTGAAACTAAAAAGGAAGCATATCAATATTCTTTAATTTCAAGAGTTTAAATTTTTATTTATAACTTAAATATAATATTTTATTTATCAAGATAGGATTCATGCACAATGTAGATTTCAAATATTATACAAAAAATAATTAAAAATATTATTTTACTTTTTATATTATTGTAAAAGTACTAAACCTCAATGCAAGAAAATAAAATTATTTTTTTAATATTGAGGACAAATAATTAAGTTTTTAAATTAATTACTCCCTCAGTTTCAGTTTATATAAAACCTTTTAGTTTTTCAAGATTCAAACTATATAAACTTTGGCCAACTTTTTTGAATATTTTTTTTATCATATTGATATGAAAAGATTGCAACTTAATAGTATTGTTCGTATAGTTTCTGAATATCTAAGTTTTAAATTTAAAATATCAAATTAATCTAATTCAATTTAACTTTAAAAATTAATCAAATTAACTCTTGAAAAGTGAAAAGATTCATATAAACCAGAAAGGAAGGAGTAACTACCAAAATAATTATTTTTTAAAATCATCATATAACTAAAATTATTTTTTAAATTGATAAAACTCTTAAGGTACATATATTTATTTTCACAAGAAGAACATTGATGGTTAATAAAAATAAAAAATAGAGTACAATTGATTATGTTAAAGTTTAGCTTGTTATTTGTTTCTCATATTAGGTAACAAAAATAACAAGGATGTTTATAAGATATCCACATATGTCCTAAGAAATTATAATGCATATGTAAGACAAATATTTTTTATTTATTGAACTAGCTAAATTGGATCAATATTTATATATTTTAGGAGCTTGATCCTTTTTTGTTAATTTTTGTTCAATAACTCAAATAAATTATTTAATATAGTTACATATTTTTTTAAAAATTATATGATCATGATATAGGTACACGCGCAAAGCGCTAAGACTAATTTCATTATCAAAAGTGAAAGTGACAAATAATTTTAAATGAACAAAGCTTAAATTGGAAGCTAGTCATTGATGATTTCTTATCGAGATCTCCCATATACAAACTTAAAACTCTCACTAACCACGATATAAGTTTAAAAAGTTGCTTATAACAAAAGAAAAGGTAAACATGCGTTTTAAGTGCTTATGAAGAAAAGGAAAGAAGAAAGAAACATATAACCAGAATTTTCAAAAATTAAACAACACAACCGTAAACATTCTCTTAAGTCTTCTTTTACCAACTCTTTTGTACGAAATTTTCTGTAAATTCATTAAATAAACTCTATTTTCTAGTGAATTTTTTCAAAGAAAGATAAAAAGATTATTATACAAGATATATACCACAGTATTAGCGAATGCAACACATATAAGGGTTTACCCTAAAAAATGAGCAACAATTAAATTTATATGCGATTTAAGGGATATGTGATTTAATTCAATACGAATGATTAAGAACAACAGCTAAATAAGTTAGAGATAAAATACATGCTCAAACCAATCACAATATGATGATCAAGCCTGATCTTAGATTGAACAGTGAAATTTGTCCTCGATCAAACTCTCGATACAAGCTCGACCGCGAATAAATAAGAGAACAAAATGAAAAACACTTGAACAAGTGCTAAAAGATAAAAATAAATTTTTATTGCTTTAATATGCGTGTCACAAAGTGTTAGAATAAAAGAAACCTTCCCTATTATATAGTAGGGAAATTTCAGTCCTGGTACAAATCTAAATAAGGTAAAAAAAAAATCCGATAAATGTCGATTTGCAGTTGATACTGGACGGATTCGCGCTGTAATATCCGGTTGAGGGCGAATATTACGGCTCTCTGCTCATCATGTATAACCGTTCTCCATGTTTCCCCAGGTCCATAGGCTATACTTGGTCCAGGTCCGTTACTTCACCGTGCCCGATCATAGATACATCGTTCATTTCTCCCGGGGTTCGATTCGAGGGGCTCTTGGACCTCGACTATAATCATGTCGAGTCATGCTTCCCCTTTGTTTCCTCATCGGGAAATCGAAGAAAACTCTGCCCCCAATTTTACCCATACACAATAAGAAAGTGAAAAATCTACGTATCATAATTGCCCTTCAAAATACTAGCCAAAAAATATATATTTTTATATATTAACGTATCTTATATACATTTTATATATTAATAATGTATATTATTTATATATTTGACTAGCGACTATATGAAGAAAGTATATCTTTCGCAAGTATAAGTCTATACCCTTAAAATAGCGATAAAATAGAATCAATGCGTTTCTACCCTCTTAATTAGAAGTTTCGAATTCGAGTTTTAATAATAAGACGTTAATACTTCAACTTCAATAAACTTTAAAGTTTAAACCGTGCAAAACCGGATTAACAGGAGCCCAAAACCATATCGAACATAGAGTGAGAAACAATAAAAATACGAGTAGGTATTAAAAAACCCTAAAAGAAGAAGGAACAAAAGGGAAAAGGGGGTGATATATAAATATAAAAGAGATTTCACAAATCTTTTCCTCCTTTCGTTTTCTGGGGTTGGAAGGGGGAAGAACAGAGTCACACCTGTGTTACTCATTTTTCATCCTTCACAAAAAAAACCCCACTTCATTGCATATATCGCCTACAAGATTCTTCAAAGATATTATCAAAATCTCTTCTTCTCCAAAGCATTAATTTTTTAAATCCCCTTTCTTGTTCTATTTATTCCCTTCTAGAAAATCGAATCTTTAGTCATTACCCCCACTTGTCAAGAATGGGTAAAAATCGATTCTTTTCCTTATTTGACACTCCCCAAATTGTGTGCTGACATGAAATCTTAGGATTTGCTTATGTTCTGATTTTTTTTATTATTAAAAAGTAAAAACAAAAAAGGGTTCTTTTTTTTTTGGTGGGGAGATTTAGAGTGATGGATAGAAAGGAAATGCAAGTGTTGGAGTGTAAAAGAGATGGGAATTTGTGTAATTCTCAGTTGGGGTTTCAATGGAGTCTCCAAGATTCAAACTTTGTTCCTGTTGGTGGTTTATTTGCATCAGTTGGTCAGATGGGAAGTATGGGTTTTGGTGTTTCATCACCTAATAATTCGAATTCCCGGGACGAAAATGGTGGATTTAAGTTACCTTATTTTGATTTGTATATGAAGTATTTGTCATTCCCTGAGATTGTAGGCCATGGAGAGGAGGAAGAGGGGGTTTTGAAGAAGAAGAAGAAGAAGAAAGGTGGGCTTAAGATTAAGTTTAAGGTGGCAAATCCTTCATTAAGGAGGTTAATTAGTGGTGCAATTGCCGGGGCGATATCTAGGACAGCTGTAGCTCCATTGGAGACAATAAGGACACATTTGATGGTTGGAAGTAGTGGGCATTCTTCTACTGAGGTGTTCAATAATATTATGAATACTGAAGGATGGACTGGATTGTTTAGGGGTAACTTGGTTAATGTGATCCGAGTTGCGCCTAGCAAAGCTGTAGAGGTAAAATTTAAGTCTTACTTTCTTATATTTTCTATTTGGTACTCATTCGTAAACTTGAGTTTGAGGCTTTTTTTTATGCTACTAATGTTTGTTATTGATATAAATGATCTCATGTGAAGTTGTTATTTGTTAATTAATGGCTTTATTACGCAGCTTATGATCGATCCTTTGAATCCTCAGTAAGTCGAAAATTTACTTTGATTTCAACCTTTATACTGCTGTGACATGAGTTGTCATCATTCAGGCAATGACTTTTCGTTTTAACAGAAAGAAATTGAAGTAGATGTATGGTCCTTGTTTCTCTATTAAGGTTAGGTTGAGGGAGAGAAGTTCCCCTTTTACGCTTCACCAATGTTTCTTGATGTTAATATTTTGTCTTTGCTATTGCTCTTATTTATGGCTGTGGCTGCATTTGCCTATAAGATGACTTATTTGGCCTCCTCCTTTCTCTATGTATATTGGAGTTAACCTGCTTCATGACCACAGCCTTCTGGTTTTGAGAGATTAGCATTATAGGATTAAACATCTCCGGATGCTACTTTCTTTTCTTTTTTTTGATTTGATAACTATTGTATATATTATAAAAATCAGTACATAGGTTGCACTGAAAACCANGCCTGCTGGAATTGGGAACAAAGACATCATGTAAGTAGGTAGAGAGTCTAATACTGAGTTGATTAGAACTAGCCTACCCCCCAATGATAGGTATTGCGATTTCCATCTTGACAACTTCTTCTCACACTTTTCTATGACTGAATTCCAGATTTCTTTTGATTTGGACCTTGCACCAAGAGGCATCCCAAGGTAAACTGTTGGTAGGGACCCAACTTCTCCTCCCAATATCTGAGTCAGTTGCCCCATGTTGTCAACTTCATTAATAGGAAAAATATTGCTCTTCCTCCAGTTAATGTGTAATCCTGATACTCCCTCAAATAGGACCAAAATGATCCTTAAGAATCTAAGTTGTTCTTTTTCAGCATCACAGAAGACTAGAGTGTCATCTGCGTATTGGAGATGTGTGATCTCTAGATTGTTAGCCTCACTCCTGTTTACCTCAAATCCTTTAACCCATCCACTGACTTTAGCCGTTTTGATCATGTTGTTCAATCCTTCCATGGCTATGATGAATAGGAAAGGAGATAAGATGCTACTTTCTTTTCTCATTTTTAATCTTTTATTACTATTGGTCCTTTGGTCAGTGGATCAGGTATATAAGGAACAAGATAGGATTTTCTGACACTATATTTGATAACGAACTCTGTGGAAGCAGTGGCGGAGGCAGGATCTCCACGAAGGGGGTTCAAAAAAAATAATTGTACCTAGTGGGAATTGAACTTATGACCTTAGGAAGGTTTTGAACCCCCTTGACCACTAAGCTACACTTTTGGGTTGTGTTAAGGGGGTTCAAAACTTAATATATAAAGGTAAAAAACAGATTTTGCCTTATATACGCAGTGTAATTTTTCGGCGAAGGCGAACCCCCTTCCCCCCCCCCCCC